GATATAAGCATAATACATTCAGTATTATAAATTTACAATTTATAAAAACTTTTTGAAATTTACGTGTCCAAGGAATGTTTTTGAGAACAGTGAAAATAGTAGTTTTTTTTTTAAATAATAAGCTTAAAATCTACAAAATTTACAGGCAGATGGAAAAAAGCGGGACTGACACTTGAGGATTTTTTATGAAAATTACAAGTTATTTGTTTTAAGAGAGCTGGGGTCAAATTTTTGAAAGTAAAAAGTTGTATCATTCATTTGAATTTTTTATGGGGAAAAGAAATGCGTCGAGTATCATATCAGAAGGAGTTTATTAGAGGGAAAGTATGTAAACGAATGGTGTGTTGAAATAGATTCATTTGTCTTAATTTCAGTAGACTAGGGGAAATATCTTTGACACTCTAAGAGTGTTGGATTGGTTCCAGAGGGCTGTTGTGTAGTAATATTTTACAAAATGAAGAGCGAATGAATGAAAATGAATGAACGAAAATTATGTTTATATTATGTCCGAGAGCATATAATAGTGGGATCATTTAATAATGTATATATTTTAAAGTTTATAAATGTTTTAGGAACATGTGACCCTTGCATGAATAATTCTTAAATGACAAACCTTGTAATATTTTATTTCCTGCTACTTGGACGATAGTTTTTACGTAACAACTAGAATTCTGGAGGAATATTTGGTCACTTCTTTGTAGAGCTAATCATTACACATTTTTCATTTTCCTGTAAACCAAGCTGATCAACCAATAGCATTACGTTTTAAGACCATCTTTTAATCGGTCCTATGTATTTCTTTACAACAAACACACATACACTGTACCAAACCTTGGTATTTAAAAAAGTCACCAGGATAATTAATACTTTTTTTATCAAGTTAAATCATATTTAAGCAAACATAGTTTCTGAAAAGCAAAGCGTTTCCCAATGTATATCTTCTTATTTATTTGCATCCATGATGTAATATATACCTTGTATTCGATACCTGATATTTCTAGGTAGCTAGGTAACTTATTATATTAAGAGCCTGTCTACGAGAAAACCATGCAGATATATAGAAAAATGCTCTGGTAGGCAGTCTCAAGAACAAACTAATTTTTATTATTAACTAAAAGGACACCCATTGAGAGTCAGAAATATGTTGTTTATGTTTGCATGGGTTGTTTCTATTTTTAGTAACAGCCAATAATTCATTTTGGTCAATATTCAAGGGAAAATGCAAAAAAGTTGGTGTAAAATGACAATTTCAATATTTAAAAGTAAAAAAATATATAAATAAAAGAGCAATGTTTTCTCATAGAACTAAGTCGTAAAATTAAATTGGAATTAATTTTTTTGTAAAACCCCTATACAGAAGGCTGTCCCGAGGGCACAAATATTGGCATGGTGCCAAGAAATGATAATGGTTCATTTTTTGTCAATATTCAGGGATATATTTCTTAGAAAGTGACGCTTCTTTTTTCAGAATTTTATGCATTTAAGAATCTCTAGGATATTATCCCAACAATATATAAAATCCACGTTTGGACTCTCAAGGACAGGAAAGTAATATTGTAATGAAATTACCTCAAATTCAAATGATGGAAAAATTCATGATTTTATGTTTAACTTTTAACAGTAATTTTAATGAATTTTGTGCAAAATATTGACAAATATAAACAATGAAAGTTGTTTTTAATTTTACAAAATCTATAAATAATTTTTTCCTGCTTTTCCTGTGGAGAAAAAACGTATTTTACTATTTATTTAGATTTTGTTAGAATTATCTCCCCTGTTGCGCTCTTCTGTAGAGAAGGTAGATATTGATTATGTTTACGAAGTTTATGAACAGTTGTCTGTCATCTATTCGTTTTAGGCATAAATTATGTGTGATTTGAAAAAAATTGTCCTTTCCTGTGAATGTAATTTGTTACGTATATACTAGCGGTCTATGTATAAAAAACATAAAAAATTATGAAATCCATCGGGATCGATGTACGATTTCGTAACCACGTGTAAACATTATGGCATCCTGCGACGTTTTGTACGTCCTCAGGAAAAGATTCAGGTGCGTGAATTGTCAACGAGTCTTCAGTTTCCGGCTCTGATTTTGATGAATATGATTCTGACAGCAAACATTCATTTGGTAGCGAAACGGATGTAGTGATGATGATACCGAATCAACAACGTTTGAATTTGAAAAAGAAACAGGTAGTTGGATCTTGGTTTATAATACCATGTACCTTATAAAAAGGCTTATTGATATGTAAAAAAATGAATAAATAAACAATTTTGCTGGGGACTTTATTATGTACAAGAGAAGATTTTTTAGAAGACAATATCAGGTCTGGTACAATCACTAGATTTAGCTACGTAGCTTGATTTACCTACTTAGCTTTAATTACCTACCTAAAGTAGCTTTATTGAGCTCTGTAGTACCAAAGTAATTTATTTCTATAAAAAAAATTCTACCTACGTAGCTAAATCTAGTGATTGTACTGGACCTGAATATATACCAAGCAAACCTGTCAAGAGAAATTTCAAGGTTGGTACATGTACATGTAGCAATAAAAATATCTGTATAAATTCAACAATATTGCAAAATATTCACATCTGCAGAATTATAAATAGCATAAGTAGCCTTTGTGGGGTGATGAAGAGGAAATGAAAAGTTGAATAGGTCCAGGGTTTTCAAAGACTGTTTATTAATAGGGTACATTAAGAATTGGACTGGTGGGTCTTCACTGTCAATTAAATCACCATTATTTCCTCATATGTGGGCTGCATGATTATAAAGAATCTCATTAAACAAAATATTTTTTTCAGATATTTATGAGATGTTATGGAGATGGCTACAATTATGATTTTCGGCTTTATGGAATAGTAGAATTTTCTTTATGAGAGATGACAATTATTAGGAAAAAGAGTTGTCAAATACTTGTGCAGACTGCAGACTTTTCAAATTAAAGGTCACCATGTGTTCCTTGACAGGTTTGTGTTTAAAACAACTAATATAAATAGAAGTCTGGGAAATTATACTTTGTTAAGAATATTTCATTTCATTCTTATATTTCTCGTGCAATTTCAGATTATTCAAATTCATTTCCCTGGATAGGGCTGGGCTTTACAATGAGAGTTTCAGCTGTGGAGCTATAAAAAATTACTACATAGTGTTTCCAATGTAGTTTTGTGAACAGAATCCAGAAATAAGAAGAGGAGAGACAATGCAGATGCAGCATTAGCATTACCAATTACTTGCCACTGCTGAGAAAATGGTAAGATATGTTATACTATAGTACATGTATAGGAATTGCCTTGTCTGTCTGTCGATTTGCCACATGCATTTTTCCCTATTCTGTTACTTTACTTCAAGGATATATGAAGCTCTTGTTTTCTTCAAAGATAGCCAGAAGAATTTGTGAAGAATCTTACCCGAGTCATTTGATGACATTTTCTTAAATTGGAAAATATAAATGTAGCATTATCATAAACATGACATTTATTTTAAAAATCTTAGAATATGTCTAGTATGGTTTGTTTCAATTTAATTTGAAAACTGTCCTTTTTCACAGGTACATGCTTTGAGTACTACTTTTGTGTACTTGGAGACAGTCCAGTTGTTCTTTAAACCAGGAGTGGAAATTTCAATGCTTGTTAAATTTTCTCCAGAAGTTATTGGATGTCACATAAGAAGAAAATGGGGTCATACTGAACAGAATAGTTTAGATACACCTGATAGATTTTGAAAGGTTGAGACCTCAAGATCAATCCAATGGTGTACCAAACATGAAGAAAAAAAGACAGTTTATAACTGAAGAAGCTTGCGTAGTAGCCAAAATTTCAGGGTATTTCATATATGTTAACTTGTACGATTTTATTGGTACATGTACTTAAACATTGTTAACATCTTGATATTTAATATGTATCAGGTTTCACTTGCAGGAATAAACAAAAAATCAGAGTAAATTTTAAGAGTTTGTTATGTTAGATAAGATCAAAGACCATGGTCAACAGTGCTTTAGTTTTACCAAATATAACATTATTAGAAAGACCAATTTCCTGTATACAGGTATAGCAAATAATTCAGAATATGATTTGGGAAACTGTGATTTTTTTCTTTTAAATCTTATCTTAATTTAGAACCATGATGTATACTTAAGCAAGTAGATTTTTTCAAGCATACAAAATTTCAAGGTCATTTTAATTTTGGAAATGAATATAGAATATCAGGAAGAAGTCAAGCATTGTAATTTTTTTGTTGTTGAATGTAGTTAATTATTGATTAATATTCAAATTTTAATCTGCAATGAAATTAAAAATTATAAATGTTCTAATTTGTTGATTTTTTAAACTTGGTGTTTATTCATTTTGAGTTTGTTGCCGTGACAATATGTCTGTCAAGAAAATGGCTCTGATAATCCTTTTTGTTCAGTTTGACCCACGACCTTTGATATTGTGACCTCAAAATCTAAAGGGGTCCTTTACTTTTCAAGAAACCAGTGTACTAAATTTGATGTCTGTCAAGCAATGGGTCCTCAAGATTTTGAATGATTAAAATCTACATACTGGTATATCGAGAATTATAACCCTTGACCTTTTACCTTGTGAACTCCAAATTAAAAGGGGCCATCTACTTATTAGTAGGTACCAGTGTACTATGTTTATTATCTAATCAAGCAAATGTTTTTTAAAGATATGAGAGAACACACTTGGTCTACTGATTGACAAACAGGTGCTAAGCAGTATGTGAATATCACCCTTTTCAAAGAAAATGTAAAATAATATAATCCTGGTAACCCCCCCCCCCCAATTAACCCCATTTAAACCCCTAAGAAATAATTATTGATTGAGAACAAAAATGTACAATATACTGGTATTTTTCAACAGCAAAATTTAAATTTTTGAAAACATTTAAATAAGCAAAAAAACTCCTTGCTGAAGTTCAGGGATGACAAAATTTGAAAATTAAAAAAAAGTCCAACTTTAAGTAAAAAGTACAGCCAAATATTTGAGAGTCCAAAGACAGATTTTTTATATAATGTAGACATACATGTTGTCTAATAATTGGTATGAGATTGAGTTGATTCTAAGCGTCACGTTCTGAGTTATAGGTTTTTGAAAAGTTAATATTTTCACCAGTTTTCAAAAATCTGGAAATATGCCAGATTTGTGACCTTTTTGCACTTAAACGGGGGCACAGTTTGTGATTATGAAAACTTTTCCGAAACAAGTGTATCTTGTTACTTTCAACCATATATGGATATTTTATATCATTATTAAATAAATTGCTGAATTTTTAAATATAAAATCCTACAAAATTCCTGTTTTCACCCTGCGTAAGGACCAAGAATTCTATTTTTAGTAAAGTGTTGATTTACCCCCTTAAGTGAGACCACACTGAAAAAAAATTTTGTGGCAAAATATTTCATATTATAGAAGAAATTTACACACAAAACATGAAGTTGATCAGAGAACCTTGCTCCCATAACCTTTTGCATGGTTTTCTCGTAGACATGCTCTTAAGTGATCCTACACAGGGAAAAGTGGCATACGTGAAATTCATGTGGTTATCTTTTTATTTGAAAATTATGTGGAAATCATATGAAAGTTATATAAATATATTTTTCGTGAATATCATGTGAATGTATGTTTATATGATATCCACACAAATCTTCTTTTGAACTTTCATGTGAAGTATTCTTTGCATGATATTTATGCGATATGCTCTTCATGTAAAATATATATGAAATATATGTCAAAATCAAAGTTTTCACATAAATTTTACATGTCTTGTTTTTCGTGTCTCTTTCATGTGAAGAATTCAAATGAAATGTATGTGAGCCACTTTTGCTTGGTCATCTTTTTATATTAAAAAATGCAAAACCGTACTCCTGAAATCATTCCATGACCTCTCTAACAAATGTATATTCCTTCTGCGCTTTGGGATTCCCGTTTTTTATTTTTATCTTTCTCTGAGGAGATAAAGTTTTACAAATCAGCACCATTTTTTTATCGAGAAGCAATAATTTTTTTTTACACTAACACATGTTTTAACTGAATGTTGTTTGTTAATCATCATGTCTGCTTATCGCATATCATGTGCATCAGGCATATTTTATCTATATTTTCCGTCTAAAAATATAATCTTCCACTTGGAAAAGCATTTTTATGACAGTACAGTACCTATACTTAAGTAAGTATACTTAAATACCGTTGAAGAAAACACATTTTTATACCATACATCGTTATTTCTTAATTGTTACATCCCTTTCACTGTTTTCTTAAAATGTCCCACATATATTAACTACCACTGACAAAACCTAATCTTACACTAGAGAAAAAAAATTAAAAAGATTGTTTAGCAATGCGCTTTGGGGAAGTTATATGCAATAGGAGTTAAAAATGTCTGACGCGTGCTCAATATTTATAGTTAAATAGGAGCACATGAAGGAGTCGAATATTTTACTTAACATTTGATTAATATTAGGATTGCATTTTTTTTCCGGCTCGATTATTATTTGAGGCTTTCGGACCCAAACTCACGGGCTGTGACCCTTTTTCTTCTGTGCAAAATTGCTTTCATTAAACTATTTTTTAATTACTAAATTTTACGAATATGAAGGAATATATACCGTATGTATTCTTATAATTTTTTTTTAACATTTTGATTTTTTAATCACATGAGGTCAAACATGACTAACTTTGACATATATGATGTGCCAATGCCAGGGAAAAAAACAAACTTTAAAACAACGGGTTGCTTGTTCAAATGCAAGTGGTTATTTATCATGTTAACTTAAATAAAATAGAAACTTCGTCGATTTTAGAAACTCTTCCAGACAGTCATAAATCAAACAGTTTTTAAAACCTTTTTATGTCAAAGGAAACCGTTGCAATACAAGAAACAGATACTGAAAAAAAGATGTAAGTTTCGTTATTAAAGCAGAGTATGGTGATGTTAACATGAGTTTATTAAAAAGGCGGGACACGTTCCATTACAATTTACCACAAGAAATCCTCCTATAACTCACATAAGAATAATGCTTCTAATACAAGACCTAATTACCTGGTTAGGTATGTAAGGTGGATTAAAGGGGATTTCTTAATAAAGATACATTTCCTGTTATGAAAATTATTCGATATTTACAAACAAAGAAGAATCATTCGTCCTGATGCATATAACGGCTTTACTAATTGTTCAAACGTCTGAGGTATAATGCAATGAACGGTATTTTTTTATTAACACGACATGATCGAATAAAAATAATATATTATAAAATAAAGTGACCAAACATAAACAAGTTTAAAAATTTGAAGTGATCTGTTAAAATGTATATCTTATATAAAAAAAACAGCCGCGTCGAAATTAATTGGTGAAATGTTTAAGTGGATGTTCCCTCCTGTCTTATAAATGATAAGCGATTTCAAAGGTTTGTTATATACTTTTACTGGCATAATTATTATTGTGGATGTCTAGTAAGGAACCTAATGTTTTGATTTGATTAACTCAGATCAAAATGAAGTAGGCGTCTTCATATGAGTGAAAAATTTTCTAGAGGTACGTAAAACAATATAAAACCACCCAATCACTCAAAATGAAATAATGTGTTTTTTATGTATTTATTTCTTCATCCGTCTGTTCAAGCCTTTTACAAAGGCAAAGCAAAAGGTTACTTAGTATTTTTGATAAAGTTTGTCATTTATTAAGAGAGATAATAAATAGATGTATTAAGAAACCATATCAAACAATGCTTTTGTTGCATTCTTGTGATTACTGTTTTGATGAATAATGACAAATGAATGTAATTCCACTTCTTGTTTAATAGCAATAGATTCTGTTTTTCATTACGAAAGGTGGCGCCATCTTGCAACAGGACCATACAATATAATCTTCATTTGAATGACGCTACAAACGTTATTTTATGTTTTTTTAAGTTTAATTTATCTTCCAGTTGTGATGATTTGTATTCGTGATAGAGCATTATTATATTAATTTATTGGGTGTCATGCATGTTTGTTTAGGACACAGTGTAATATTTTGAAATCAGTCAATTAATTTAACTATAGTCTATAAATGTAGTATTTCAGATGAAATAAAAAAGAAAGCCTTCGATTATTTTATATTTTACTATTAAAAATTATGTTACTATTGGTTCAAATGATTTATGATTAAAATGACTATTAAACTGGAATTTTAATATTTTTAGATCCACCCATTTGATATGTTATTTTTCGTTTGTCGGTCAACCGTCATAGGTCAGACGACCTCCAAAGGTCAATATCCAGGACAGAGAGAGTCACGTCCATTGAGGAAAACCAAGGGGAAAATGCAGCAAAACTTTAGATCAATATGTTCTGAAATTTAACATTGTGTGACTATTTTCTGTCTCCTCTCAACTTGACTGGTTCAAGGTCATGACCAAGTATACAACATCTTATAAACAAGATATTTCTATTTCAAGCAGTGAAAATAGACTAAAAAGCTACTAAAGTGAAAAATACATGTATTATTTTATGAAGCAACAATAATGATGACAATACTGCGTCAGTATTACATGTAGATGTAATATGTAATTTTGTGACGTCATAATGCATATTAATGCATTATAAGAGAAACATTTAAGTATTAGGAACACAAACTTGTATTTTAAAACATGTTATTGAAAAATATAGAATAATGATAAAACAAATATATATATATCTATATATATATATATATATATATATATATATATATATATATATATATATATATATATATATATATATATATATATATATATGTGTGTGTGTGTGTGTACTTCTGACTTGATACAATTCTTTAAAAGCATATCGATGTCACACTCCCAGTTCTAAGATCTCTATACCTAAGGATTGACCTTAATTGGCAAAAGGCTATATTTGTGTCAAGTAGCAAGTAGTCCACATGTACTGAAATACTAAATTGTTATCATTATTTGGGGAACATAATAAGAATAATTAATAACAATATGTTATCAAACTTTGTTAGGGGAACATAACTGATTTTAATTGTAGCGGGGGCCGTTATGATCCCCAGTTACATGTAGATGTAAAGGTGGAACATGGTTAAACAACTGCTTAAGTGATTATCAATAAGAGGTAGGAAATGGCAGCGTATACACCATTATTGTATTTAGTGAAAGCATGTTTTTACCCTCAATATAGTTATATATAAGCATAATACATATAGTATTATAAATGTACAATTTATCAAAACTTCCGAAATTTATAAAT